AGGAAAGTGGTGATTCGGTCATAATCTTGCTACAAGAACATGTTACATATAGTACTGTACATTTAGTTTTACACTTCTACATGTCTGTATTATTTTTTAACTGTTAACCCTCTAATAGGACGAGTTAAATAGGTCAGACCGGTATAATATGATGCATTTAACATTTCTGTAAATATGGATCATGATGGATATTGTAATTTCCTGTGGCTAATTATAATATTAGTATGACCAACGCAGGTTTTTATGAGTTATAGAAGGAAATGTGCACTCTTCATCTCTAAGCTCCACTCTTACCTGAACAAGGCAACGTAATGCGGACACTCCGTAGTTCCAAAACTCCAGTTGCAGTTACTCTCTATTTGTGGCACAAAGGATCTGTTTCAGTATAAGAAACCATCTTCCAAACAGGTAATAGCATGCAACACTTTGAATTTTCGCAAACAAAGTATATGAAATAAGACGTGTGCGACATTCCATAATCTCATGAGGTAACATGCGCAAAGTTTGGTATTGCCTCTAACAGCGTTTATGCGATATGACCCAGACAAAGTGATACAGAGATTGACTCTCATACCGTGTATTTTGATTTGGTTTAATTTTGTTTCACGTCCTATTAACACCTAAGGTCATTTAAGGACGTGCCAGATTTTGGTGGTGGAGGATAGCCGAAGTTCCCGGAGAAAATGAACCGACCTACGGTCATTACCTGGTGACTGCCCAGCGTAGGCCGTGACCCAGTGCGTGTAGTGTATGCGTGCCTGCGTGTGTGTATGTATGCAGGAGACAGGGTATGCTCCTTGTGATAGCGCGGATCTGATGCCAACTTTATAGTGCAATCTCACTGAAATACAATGCCGAAGACGCCCAGAATAGCATTCCGCCCGGTCACATTATACCGGCAACGACAGACCACGTTATTGCCATCCTCTTAATGCTGAACATTAAGCACAGAAAAATGAAAAACAAGATAAATGATTGAAATGAAATTGTTCACTAAAACCCATTCATGCAAGAAGAAGTTATCCCCAAAACTCATACTATTTTTTTGTTGTTCTCATTTTCCCTTATAGCGTCACTAGGACCCGGTTATCAATCGCATAGAGCACATTATAGGAGTTTCGTGGATATCAGGGAAATACTTTAAAGTGTACATGTACGCCCAACTATATCACTACAACAGCTAACGTGATATTACAGAAATACGAAAACTTTTACAAGAAAAATTATTAGGGTTAGGGGCCAGAGTTCCAATTTACTACCTTTCCAGCTAGGAAAGACAGACAATGGACACACTTCGGTAAACCCTGGCCAGATGGTATTCACCCAATCCACATCTGCATCATTCACCTTCTACTTACTTCAAATAGTCAACAATGAATACTTATAATCAGTGTCTCAAGTTTAAAAAGAAGACTCACAATTGTTCACTCTCGCCTTTTTCATTTATTTATTCTATGTATTAAATTTTGGATTAACTGACTACACAGGATAGCTTAAATGATGCACGCTGTAGGTGTATGTACAATAACTTGTATATGTGACTAAATGACTCGATTCAGCCACGCTTTGTATAATACTTGTTCATAGATGTGCAAGAGTCTTTGAGCCCCCTCATCTCGATTTAGAAATGGCCCACTGCGGCGTATCCAGATGGCTTCCTTTATCTGCCGCTTGAACAGATTGCTCTCTCTGTCTAAAACTTTGGATTTATCCCAGTCAATCACATGATTCTGTGTGGCATGGTCTGTTACTGCCGCTTTATTTATCTGGGACTCCGATTGCTTCTTTTCTGATCTCGAGAATTTCCTACTTTCTTTGGTTTCCGTATCTTTCCGGTGTTCACCAAGGCGGACCCCAAATCCCCTTCCAGTCTCTCCAAAATACGATGCGTCACAGTGTTTGCATCCGATTTTGTATACGCATTCTGCGACTTTTTCTTAAGGTGTTTTATCTTTAGGGTGTACTAGGATATGACGAAGCGTCTTTTGGGTCCTCATGTCTGTTGCTATGCCATGATCACGATATATCCTCTGGATGGTTTCGGATATACCTTTTATTTACGGGATGACGACTTGACCTTTGGTTTTGTTCTTATCCTTAATTGACCTTTTCTTGTTCCTCCTTACTTTGACACCGTTTTTGTACCCGTTTTATGGTCCATTCAGGATATGCACACGTCCTCATTGCACTAGCTATGTGATTCCGCTCTTGTGTTTTGTCCTGTTGTTCTGTGACTATTGTATGTTGAGCAATGTGCGTACGACGCCTAACGTCCGTATGGGTCTTTTTTCTATAGACCAAAACCTTCACGGTTCCGTCTTCATTCTTTACCAGTATAGTGTCAAAGAAGGGCATTGTGCCGTTGCTTTCTTCTTCGCATGTACATTTGATGTTGTTAGTGGCAACTGTGGTATTGATATGTGTGGTCAAATCCTTCTGTGACCCCCATAAGCTATACTTGCTTTCTATTGGGGCTGTGGCTATTGCTTCCTGATGTTCAATGAACGAATTGGCCCCAATGGGAGACACTGGACTACTCATACCAGTGCCGAAGCGTTGTTGATAGATGTTGTTTCGAAAACTTAAATATGTTGTTATCAGCACAAATTCCAGCAAATCCATGATGTCCTGGATTTGGGTTTTTTTACGCAAGGATCTCTAATTCTGAGCGTTTTTGAATGATTCTAAGTGCATCGTAAATGGGTGTGTTGGTAAAGAAAGAGACAACAACATGTGAAATAAATTATTCGTCTTCCTGAATCATGATGGTAGACATAGCTTCCGCTTGATGTTTCGAACTCTTAACATGGTGTTCCTATTTACCCACTAGCGGTCCAAGAATGTCTGCTAATGATCTGGAAACATTGTAAGCAATGGATCCAGTGCAGTCCACAATAGGCATCAGTGGGTTTGTGAATATAGGGTGTACATTACATTCTAGTAGTGTTTGTATTGGCCTTCGGTAATAATAATAATGATAATACTGGACGCAGGCATAATGCCTATACATGCCTATATCCAGATCACAAAGTTTAACATCAGTTTATATGATGACGTCCGATATGAATAAGTTCATTATTATCTATCTCATGGTTAAAAAACATTTAGGTTGCCCCCAGTATTTATCCAATCGGGATTCAAATGTTTTGACTGTTGGTGACGTAACCACGGCATCTGGAAGCTTTCAAGGGAGTTACAATGATTAACAATCCGCTCACTGAAAGAATATTTCCTCAAGTTTAGTCTACTCCTTCGTTTTATTAGTGTCAGACGGTGTCCTCCTGTTCTTTTGTTATTATTTGGAATTAAAAATCCTTCTGTGACAACTCGATCATATACTCCATGTGTTAATTTATATACTTGAATCATGTCTCCTCTCAACCTTCTATGTTTCAGTGTAGGTAATTTCTGAATCCTCAGTCTGTTTTCATAGCTTAGATCTTTCATTTCCAGTATTTGTTTCGTTGCCCTTCTCTTTTCATTTTCTATTTCATTTATATATGTTTGTAAATATTGAATCCATACGCAGGCCCCATATTCCAGATGAGGCCTTACGAGTGCTTTATATAAAAGACAGAATGTTGTATCATCTAAATATGTATAAGTTCTTCGGATAGTTCCCATTATTTTATTTGCTTTGCTGACCACATCATGAATATGTTCGTGTAGCATTTTTATGACCTTGGCCTCGTAATCGTCGGTGTCCATGACAACTGTTACCTTCCCCTTGTCAGCTGGTGATATCGTTATGGATTTGTTTCCGCCTACTTTTTGGAGTGCGACCCGTTCTTCGTTCGTCATATCACTCGTTGGTAAGCTTGTGGATTTGTGGAGGATGAAGGTCACAGTGTACATATGTACCGTACTAGTCATCGAAACGTCACATAGAAACTTTTACTGGTTGTGTAAAAAGAACTTTTCATAATCCAGCTGCTCCATCATTTTCCCACTCATCGGTAATGCTAGTTGCCAAAAAATGTGGAAATACAAATTGGTCTGAACTTCTATTGAGGCAGAGGCGGGGATGCACGAAACCGCTTAATTACATGAATTTCAATTAGAAGATCGGTACTGGCTAATATCGAATAATTAATATACAAGTATGTGTATTATGAACCCTGACACTACTCAAATGGGACATCTTTGGTCACCAAGGTTACGACTAATCTAAATCGCGAAAACTATAGCAATCCACCTATACAATTTGGTATTATTTGGTATGCTATAATGAATGAATGACTACACCGCATACAGCTGTTTCGCCATTCAATGACCCAACGGTGAAGCCATAGGGGCCAAACAAGATTATGACATTTTGCACCGTTATTTTGTTAAATACATTATGTAGGTCACAATTTTACGATTTCGCTTCTCGCTTTTCCCCTCATTCAAATCAGAAAGATTGGTATGTGCTGCGTGACACCGATTGCTGATTCGTGTCAACTATTGTTCAGTTTCGAAGACAAAGTTATGTTTTCAAGAATCATAACCACGATAACAAACACTGTTAAGGTAAGTACGCTTGATCAACTTCAAAGATGGAACGCCGACATCAAAAGTGCTTCTCGTGGTAAACTGTGTAGAATCTGTACGACGAAACAATAATTAAACCCCTTTTAACTAGTATTTCTGCTAAAAATAAATCTATTTAATACAACTCAGAAGCTCCTACATGTACATCATACGTCCTGGAGAAAGTTGGAATATTCCGAAGGACTTCATTTCGGAATGTTCCAATGCCAATGTTGAAAATCGACCGACCAACTTCGGAACGCTGACATGAAAAGTGATTCCCGCGGCGAACTCTATTGCAAAATTACAAAGATTAAAGATTTTATGTTGAAAACCAATTGAACACAATTATGACTTTTCGAATATGAAACGTCTTAGTCAAGCTTATATTAGGAGAGTTCAGAACGACTTAATCTCGGAACATTCTGATTTCTATTGAGGACAAAGTACAAGTACCCGTCTAACACTTATAACATCTGAACACAAAGTTCTATGCAATGACATTTTTTTAATTTATTTTTAACAACGTTAACTGTCGCCCTATCATCAACATACATTCACCACAATCACCAATCGATCAAACTTCATAAATTATTCTCAGAAATACTAGAACAGACAAAAACAGTTTTTACTTCAAAAACGAAAAGAATGTGTAAAATCATTACTTCAAATTAATTGTATTTATGGCTAACGACACATAATTGAAGAACTTTATATTGTTATGAATGGCACAAATCGAAGGTTACAAGAGTTGTCTTTCCTAACAATAGTAAAGCATTATTGCTAACTTTTTTATGTACCTAAAATATAAGATTAATTAAGAATAACCTTGTTTGCTTTCAAATGAAGTAACAGAATACATTAAATAAAAAACATATATCGAAAAGATCTTCGTTATTAAAATAAGGCAAAATATTAAATACAAAAATATGTTTCTATTTTTTTCCCTAGTTACAATTGACTAATGTTACTGAAATTAAATATAATGGTGGATTTGACGCTGATAACCATATCAGAAACTTTCGTTCCACATGTTAAATATACATGATACGCAAAGTATACATCTTGTATTATAGAATAAACATGGCGCTACATGGTGTCGATTCGGCGAGATTTCGTTACAGGAACACGTTACTTTTCATGCTTTTTTGAGTTTATATGTCGGCCTGTTTGGGTACTTTTAGAGCCGTCACCCCTCTTAAATGACAGGTTAAAGGGGCTTTCCCGGTGATAAAAAAATATAATACAATGCATTTAACATTTCGGTAAGTGTCTATAATGATCAATCTCGTTATTTCTTTTGGAAAGTATTTATATCACCAACTGAGTTTTTAAAAAAAAGTAATCTACATTCTGAGCAAAGGAAGAACACTTCTCTCATCAGCAAAACAATCTTGAACTAAGTATTGAGAGCAAATACATCATTCCCCACCTCCCTACAAACTTTGATATCACATATGTTCAGTGGGCTATTAAGCTGTCTAGTGTTATAGAGTGTAACAAGGGGAATTATTCCGGTGTGCTACACTTTACTATCCTAAGATGTACATGTACATACATACACAATTTAGTAATTTATCTGAAGAAATACTTGCATGCAAACTTTGGCAATCGTAAATGACAGAGTATATGAAATACGACCCAAACCGACTGATCAATAGTATGGATTGACGGACCTGCGTAAACCTTTTAGTTCTCTGTGATAGTACCGTTAGGGAACTAAAATATGAATGCCCTTATATTAACCCACCACAGACACAAATAAATTGTCAATAGATGAATATAGACAAATATGGGCAGTTGGTTTGAGTGATAGTGAGAAATCTCACTCATACAAAACCCCTACTATTTACACTTCCTCACACACTCTCTAAGATCCAGTTGTCAATCTCACAGAGCAGAGAAACAATGAAATGTATGCAACAACGTCGACACAGAGCAGCTGGTTTGGTTTGATTTTCTTTCATGCTTTATGTCCTATTAACAGCTGTGATCAGTTAAGGATCAGCCAGGTATTTGTGATAGAGGACAACAGGAGTAACCTGGGGGAAAAACACCGACCTGCGGCCAGCACCTGGCGAATGTCCCATGCAGGCCTTGAACCTGCGACCCAGTAGAGGAGGGCTAACCAGAACAGCTGATGTGATGTTACACAATGAAGAAAAGCAGAAAAATAAGGAGGGGGCCAGCATTAAATCTTGCTGTTGTTCCAGCAGAGATAGATAGACATTTTACTGATTAAAGAAGAATGGCAACGAGTCATCAGACAAGTACACAGATCTTAATCTCAGATCTATTGCAATTTTCTCTCATTTTCCCCCAAAATGCACCATTTGTTGAAAACAATACAGGGATACAGGCTTACACACTTATCAAAGATACATGAGAAAGAAGTGCAGCAATATGTAATATGACTAGAAAGACTAGATTACACTAGACAGGGAGATGACAATAGCAAAAGTTGTACTTTATAATTAAGCGGCTCACTGGTACACTTGCTATGTCTCTTCCTTTTAGAGGACCACCAACATTTTTTTCATCAACGTTTGTAATCATCAGATTTTCTTTATTTTTTTCCTATTAAATCTCTCAATTTTTAACATACTGAAACAGCTTAGAGAATGGCATTTAAAAACATTGTTTTGTTAGAACAGGAGTCATTGTTCCCCAATAATTACAGATTCATATTAAAAATAGGTGGAATATTTACGCAACATACGTTGCAGGAATATTTAAAGAATTAATTAGTGATTCATGGCAACAACACAAGATATAACTATTCTTATTAATAATTGTTTTAACTATTAATTAAAATATTGGTTAGCTTTTTACGTCCTTAATTAGTAGAACTTCAATACAGTTACTTTACTATCTTAGTAAGCCATATGACAGCTCAACTAAAATGGCACTTACTATTTCATTACATTTTGTACTGTTTGTCAAAATTAAAATGACGACAATGTGGAAATAAAACTGGCTTGGAAAAGTCACTAACCATTCCATCACATATGTACTGTGATAATTAAAATGTCCAACATGTGGACACTGAACTGTGGCTTGGAAATGGCAGCAATTTATTACAACACAAGCATGGTCGGCCTTGACGCATGTTAAGATCTGTTCTGGCATATCCTCCCCGACCTCATCAGATTATTATAAATATTGTCCTAGATCATATTAGCCGTATCATAACCCTTTCATCTCTTTCATTAGTTCCTCTATGCTCTTTTCTGTATTCTCTATGGAAGCTGATGCGTCCTCCTGTCAAATAAATATATATATATCATTAACCCTTCAGCAGCAACCATTGAAAAATATGGCAAAGAACAGGTATCCTACAACAGTCCTTCTATAGATTCTAGTCAACGTACGATGCTTGAATAATATGCTGAATTATCCTTTAAAAAGCATATTCATACATGTTTTACCTTTGTTTTTGGAGTCAGATCCTAACTTATTTTTTAAACAAGACTTTCCTGTGTATTTGTTGTAGGATTGCATGTGTATTCTGTCCAAGTTTCACCTGCCCATTGTGAATTATTTTCATTTTTACCTAGGTGTGTGTTTTCCACAAAGTTATCTACTGGTGCATTTACACTAGCTAAATCAGCATAGTTTGTGCTAGTTTATATAGAGGTTTATTATGTGCAGATTGCCTGTGAGTTGTGACCTAGTTTACTTGTGTGTAATGACCAACTAAATTTACCTAGTTATAAGATATCTGTAGGTTACCTGTGTATTTTGATTTATAAAAGTGAAAACTAGTTTACTCGTGTGCTATGACCATATTTACCAAGTATGAGTTAATTATTAGCTATATATATAGGTTACCTGTGTATTTTGACTTGGTGTAGTGTAAGCTAGTCGGAGACCCTCCGTGAGCTCGGGAGTCTCGCCTTCTGCTGCCTTTGATTCTTCCTCTGTCATTTCTGATACAAGTTCAATTTCTAAAAGACAAAGAAAGGCACCAATTAATTAGTAATATATATATAGTTAATACTTGATATGCTTTATCGGTATGCAGAGATTTTAGTAGAAGTGCACTATCTTTTCTTTTTCTTTTTCAGGGACTGGATATTGCTATACAGCACACAATTTGAATTAATTAAAACTTATTTGTAATAACCAATTATCCTCATTATCCTCATATAAAACAGTCCTTCACAGAAAAGGATACATGTCTGCAGTATATATATTCCATTGCCTTTAAAGAAATATTGAGCAAATTTCTGCACTTTTCAGGATACACCTATTTTCCACTATTCTTCAAGCACTGGCCACAAATCCTGAACATTTCATGGTCTGAATAGACTATGGACCATACATGTACATATATACTCACCAAAAGGATTGTCATCGTGTACGACCTCTTCCTCCTTCTCTTCTACAGCTTCAACCTTTGGCTTCAATGCCTCTCTTTCCTATAAGGTAAAACAGTTAGGATCACATTCTTACAACATATTAAGGAACAAAATTACAAGGCAAAGTATTACAGACAATTCTTAGTTTTCCATAAGTTAGTGGGAAAATTTAAATCATGCAAAAGTGTTACAAATAAGAACCTTTGACAAAAAGGCAAAGTATTTCAAACAATTCATAGTTTCCCATTGGTTAGTGGGCAAGTTTTAAATCAGGCAAAAGAGTTATTAAAATGAAACTTTGACAACAAGGTAAAGTATTGAAAACGATTCATAGTTTCCCATTAGTTATTTGTGGGCGAGTTTTAAATCTGACAAAGTTGTTGTTTTAAGAAAATGATAGCATGATAAACCTGTTTACCAAATCTTGTAACTTCAGGTCAAATAGTAGCTGCGGGAACCGTAGCTTCTAGGCCCGATTTAAAAAAAAATAAAAAAATATTGTTATCAGACATAGATGATCTATGGTCCAATAACAATAAAATAAAAAATGAAAAATTGGGCTTAGAAGCTACGGTTCCCGCAGCTAGTCAAATAGTACATTAGATCAGCACAAGATTAACTGTTTTACTGGTTGAGGGCAGAGTTCAACATATATAGGTCACAGTTACCTACATTTGATACATGACACTCCACTGTCTAAGGTTTACTTGCGTGCCAAAAAAGGTCACTCAATGTAAAATAGAAATTCTGCCTCTGACAAACCTTGGAAACAAGAGGACAGACGTATAGACAAAGTACAAACCTATAGTCGCCTCCAGAAATAAAGATGAAATTATCAAAATTTAATTAACAACAGTTTTCTGAGGTTAAAAAAAAGTCATCGGGATATAGACAGGATTTAAACCCTGGACTTGTAATTGATAAATTATCACTATATATGACTTCGCTACCTGTTCAACAGAAATGTCCTGGCCAACTGTGCTACAGTTTTATCTAAACAGAACTAAAGGGGAGCTTATTGTATAAGGGAATAACCATAGTCCAGTGGGATAGGGACCCTTAAGAATTAAAATTAAGTAATTTTTGTATGGGTTCATGTGCTGTGGATAGAGTATAAGAATAATTGCTCAATAAAAACATACATTATAAATCCATTATGTCTCACCTTGAAGCTGATTTGTTGTTTGCAGCAGAAACGGTCTTCACACTGGGGGTTAGGTTTCATGGCGTACTTTGGGAAGAAATCCTGGAGGGCATTGTATCCGAGATAGTATGACACCTCACCAAATTTCAATAAATATCTGTAATTAAAATCAGGTATATGTAGGAATCATAGAGGGCACTGTATCTCAGATAGTATGCAACCTCCCGATCTTTTTACATATCTGAACTAAAATAAGAGACATGTATAAAATATTAGAGGGCATTGTATCCATGTAGTATCACACCTCAAACTAAAGTTATTATCGACCATTTCTGTAATTAAAATAAGGTACATGTCTTGATGGTCATTTTATACCTCTCTCTCCAAACTTGAGATATTGATATATATAGCTGCTTGCAAGGGAGTTAACTTCGCTTTATTTGCTGTCAACCAGAAAAGCCCGAAAAAACTAAACACCCAACGAATATTAATACTATGAATAAACACAGATAAAAATTATAGACTTTTTACCCTTTTCCTGCCGAATAATTATAAGGACTATGAAACACCAATGTNGAATGTGATTTTTATTTTATTATACCGAGTGTCATGTTTAGGGTTTCACCACTTCACCATTTTTAAAGGTCCTTGTGTTGATTTGACATAAACCAAGACTTCATCTCAACAGTTGTCGAATGAACCAAACATGAATGTGATTTGATAACACCCTGGCACTGGGACGAACCGTGCACGCATACATTTGGCGCATGTGATATTTTTTGGAATGTCACTCTGTCTTCTTTATCTTTGTAAAACGAGCAAGTAACATTGAAAATGTTCACATCTTTCTCAACCAATCAGATTACGAGATTTTAACAGAAGGTATAATAACATATTTGNAATGTTCACATCTTTCTCAACCAATCAGATTACGAGATTTTAACAGGAGGTATAATAACATATTTTATGTGATTTTGATAACACACTTGCAGAAATAAATACAAAAGTATTTATTGTACTCTGTACTAAAGTTTGACTTAGTGAGGCGATGTCACCAATTTCTTTCCCATGAAGGTTATATACTAAAACAAGATTTTCTTCTTGATTACAACAGGAATATGACATCAACATCTAGACTTGTAGCCTGTACATGTACTTACTTGAGCGTGTTTTGGACTAGGAAGCCTGCCACTACAGCCATTGTTGTGGGAAGACTGGCCGCACACACACCTTCTCTCTTCAGCGTTCTCTCATCTGTCTTAGTGGCCACCACTAGGGGAGGGGCACACTGTAACACAAGAGCAGAGATTTCAGAGTAAATTTACAGATAATTTACATAATTATTCTAACTCTAATTTTTTAATTATTGCCTACATATATTTTCAAACAAAACAAGAAACAATTACAGTTTTTTCTTTACTTAAGGTTATAGTTAAAATAAATCTGATATTAATGAACAGGGGTTGCACTCTTTCTCCTTTTCAATCCACTCTGCTAATGTTTCAGATCAAGTCAACATATTTTCCATTTATTAACAAAAATGTTTTATTTGAAAAAAGAAAGAATCACATACTTGACAGAAGCAATGACAGTCAAGAACTTCACCCTTTTTCCAGCATTGCACTCTAGACCACAAATACTTACAGCAAAGCATGATGTTTCCCCCGGTATGATGAACTGTATGTGTCCTGACACAGCGTTCTCACTGACCCCGGACTCGAACCAAGACTGACCTATCTCATTACAAGCCTAAAAGTACAATACAGGTCAGATATGTCGTGGTGTGAAGTGACAGATTTATTGAGGGTCAGAAATAAATTCATAGAAACAAAAAGCTAAGACAATTCTGTACTGACGGGTAAGCTACACAAAACTGACTTTCAACCTTTGTAAAATGACAGGCTATATTCTCCACACTAGTATATGACAGATTATATTAATCACTGATCTAGTTCGTGTTCTCTCTGAATATCAAGCTTTTGGAATGTTATACATGTACTTTTTGCAAGGACAGTGCCAGACTTACGGTATTGATGGCCATACGGGCCTCAAAGTTATCCACACAGCTGAGTACAAGTTCTACAGGAGTGTTTTCCTTCATGCCACCATTCCTACAAACAAAACGCACACAAATCCATCAAAGTAAACCTATATAAACATAAGAAAGCAGCAAAGCAGCGGACCAGCCTACAATGTATCTGTAGTAACATGTCTCATAAAGTCATACTATTCTGGCAAAACTATGTTTGAATGCAGCTAGATTATATACAAGCCAACTCTTTTTTTTTCTTACTAAAGGGAGATAACCTCAACAATACTTTTTGTTTACCTGCATGCTACTAAAGAACCATTTGAAGTTACTTTGGTAAATGATTGTTTAAACTTATTTGAATTCTGCTCTACATTTGTTCATAATGTTACTGTAATGAATGATCAATGAAAATGTCATCAACAAATGCAGTAAAAGGGACATTTACTGATTTTAATGGATTTAAATAACAGCCGACAGCAGGCACGTCAAGTTTCATTTGAAACTTTCAGATACGAGACAGCTTATCTCTGAGCTGCCAGTTAATCTATCCTGCAATTACAAATCAATGAAAAAAAAGTTTGGTGTCACCGAATGTCTTCCATAATGAGCGTCTTAATATTTCTGTTATTATTTGAGGGGTAAATGACCTATCAGTATACTGTTCAAAGTGGTTGGGATTTATTTATCAGTACATTAATAATGTTGATATACCTTTCACTGTACCAAGGTAATTAACATCACGGGTCACAAAATACTTTGCAGAACTCCCTGATACTTACTTGATTCTGTCCATGAAGTGGTCAAAGTTTTCCATGGTGGTGATGTTATAATTGTACACCTCAAACTCAACATCAGGGTTTATCTCCCTACAATAAAAATAGACACTGGTAGCAATGCTTGAATGATAGCTAACTATACTTAAAGACATAAATGTATAATTTTACATGAATTCAGGTGTTCTCAGTGTATATGTAGTCATTCTGCCTGTTCTTTTGATTATCATGTGACTGCCATGTGACATGTCCTGGGCACAGGTGCTGGACACACTGATATGGTTTGGTTGAGCTTTCTTTCGATTAGCATCCTATCGACAGCAAAGGTTCTTTAAGGACAAGCCTCCATGTGTGTGTAATGTGTATGCTTGCCTGGGTGGATAAGTGCAGGAAGCAGGAACCACTGAGATATGATGTGTACATACTATATAATATTATTAAATAGTATACATATACACATCATAGCAGTGTGTCCAGCACCTGTAGTCTTGGGCATGTGTTGATACCATGTGAAGTGAATTTATTTTCTCCCATCCTACACATGTGTGTCTCCCGTTTTAGTTGGGAAAGATCAGCTTGTCAGCCCCTAGGGGCAGATAGCCTTGTGCCAATTAGTATGTGTTCAATTGTGACGTCATTAAAATGTGTTTGGGCTGCCAAGGGTTGGATATTACTCTGTCACACCCTCCTGGCAGGGAAAGATTATATTAGTCCATTCTGTGATGTAAATCTACAAGCATATCTTTATCTATCAAACCTGTACATGGTTACTATTATTGCAATAACTATGTAAGTATTGTAAAACGACATGAACAGCTGCTGGATGATTAATTCAAAATGTCAACACTGTGTATCCAAATTAACTTTGACAGACTATGTCTTTTTGGGGTTTTTTACGTCCTATTTACAGCTATGGTCATTGAAAGACATGCCATGTTTTGGTGGTGGAGAAAAGACGGAGAAAAGACGGAGAAATTGGAGGAAAACCACCCACCTGTGGCCAGTAATACCTGGCGACTGCTCCACATATAGGCCTCGAACCTGCAAGCCATCAGTGAACGGCTAGTGATAATAGCCAGAGACACACCTTAACTGCTTGGCCAACGCAGCCCCCCCCCCTCCCCTCTAGACTGTGGTGAAAGTTACTGATATCAATTTTACTCACTTGAGTGTCTTCTCAGCAGCCTCTACTTTACTCATTCCAGATTGATGTGGCTGGTAAAATAGTCGGTTCATGTTGGCCAGCTCCACTTTATCATAATCAAACAGCAACAACTGAAAACAAAATCATTTCATTTTTAGTACATGTAGTAAATAAACCTACAAAAAGTTAAAACTTGCTTGGCAGAAAACAAATCCCATAGGTGATGACTCTAGTACACTCTAGAATGTGTTTAAGCGTATACACCATTATCTTTTTCCAGTCCTCATCTCTTTACAATGATGTATTATACTGACTTACATGAAAAAGTGTCTATGTGTTTTTTTTTAGACTTTTGGTAGGTTTTGAAATTGTTCAAATTTTATGGAAATTGTTTAGGGCACTTATAAGGTGCCCCGAAACCTTCAAAATTACTACTTATATTTCTAAAACAGTCGGTTGTACTCTCTGGTTGGACTGCTCTTTGTAACAAAATAGGGACATACATGTAGGAGTACAGAATCTTGAAAATCTATCAAATATCCCCCAAATCTAAACTCTATGAGAAAAACTGTTGTACAGTACACAAGATGCATACTTTGCTGGTGTCTAAAACCTCTATAGAAGTAAATTTCCCTCTATACAGCATATCTCAATGAGGATTACTCAAATACAACTTTAGTATTGTATGATTTAATCACAATCAAGCATTATGATAATGCTATATCTTAGAAATGAAATCATACAAAGCAAATGAGTAAATTTTATTTTCCTTTTTGGAACAAACTTATATTTTGGGAATGTGGAATATAAAGCATTTACATTCAGTAGACAGAGAAGTTTAATTCAAAATTTATAGTGAGATAAGCAATAGTTCTAAAAAATTAAGACAAATATAGAATGCCAAAATGTTTATTTGATGTTGTAAAAACATTCCAGACAGTAATCTCTAAATTACATCTACACCAATATCACACTGCATCATTAATTCTAGTGTTAGGAATCAGTCGAGATTTCAACATCGATGATCGGATATAATCGGTTAGTAGTGTCAACCGATCAATTTTCGATTATTAATCAGATTATAGCCTAACACTTTTTTTGCAATTAATTATGTTTAAATAGCATGATTGGTGAGAAGTTATAGTTAAGAGTAATGAAAATGACATTAGAACTCCCATTCTCTCTTAGTGAAAATGAAAGTAGAACTTGCCATCCGGATTTGAAAACAATCATCAATGTTGACATCTCATAATCGATTGTCGAGAATCGGTTGCCTTTCCGATTACATATCGATTATAATCGATCACCGGGACAAAACTAATTAATTCTAATGACCTTAACATTCAAAAAGATATTTGACCTTGACTTACCTTTCCAATACCACACCTAGTCAACATCTCTGCAGTTACACTTCCTACTCCACCAACTCCAACAACCGCAACGGTGTATTCCCGGATTTTCTGTTACAGAAAAAAATTAAACAGGAAATGAAGATACTTGAGAATACCTACACCCATCTCAGGCATCGAAGAAGGACACCCAGCACAAGAAAGTTCAAAGGTATGGGCTGTCTCGTTTCGGAAATAAGACACTTTTGAATGAATGCAAAATTATTGGACACATGTATATAAATAAAATATATTTTTTAATAAATAATAACAACTGTAGTTTTGTTTAATTAACCATCAGTTTGTTTATTAACATTAGTATTATACTAGCTAGTACATGTACAAGAAATTAGCAGAATTACAGATCACTCACATGGCATTTTATATTTTATATACATTTCAATCTTATGACTAAGTTGAGATATTTTTTAATTGGAAAACCACCAGTGTCTTACACTAGTCCTATTTTAATTACCTCATAGTTATCGACAATTCCCATTCTCTTCAATGCCATCAGCCGACTGAAACAAAAAAAAATCCAAATAAAGTTATTAATATTTACTCAATTGTATAGGGCTGCAGAAGTAAAAAAACAAACAAAAACATCCATAAATAATGTTGTAGTATGAACTATTTCTGTTGATATCCTGTTAAACGTAGTATCTTCTGTTTGCAGTATCTTCAACCAGTTGAAGGAGGCAAAAACAAGGGAGAAGAAGGAAGACGAGCGTGAAGTTAAATTCTGCCTAAATGTCGTTAAATTATCAAGTAAACAGCAAGCACAATCGAAATCTGAATTGACCGCCATGTTGGAATGTTCGTCTCTTCCGATATAGGTCAGACGTCTATATATGGGTGTCATGACCCAATATGGAAATTGTACTAAACATGGCGATGTCAGTAGTAATACTTTATTTGGTCATGCAGGCCATATATATAGAAAGGATAATTGAGATAACATCACGCATGATCAAACATTATNACTTTTTGTAACAAGACGTTCACGAACAATCCAAATATTCCGCCTCGTCAACATACAGATCGAGCTCTCGCCAGTATGGACGGGGCTAAATGACCGACTTTTGAAAGCTTCTTTCCGATTGGTCAGTCCGCTGCAGAATGACACATCGCCAGTTCAGGTCACAAAGTACTTTTGTACAAGGAAATACAATGTTTCTAAACATATTAGCGTAGTATATTTGTTAATTAAGGTGTGTTAGAATGGGGATAGTACGTTGTTTTTCGTGTCTATACTGGCGATTAGAACATGAAATTTGGTTTCAACTCTCGACCTATCGGTCTCGAGTTCAAACACAAATTTCATGTTCTAATCGCCAGTATAGCCACTCAAAACAACGTACTATCCCCTAATTAATACATTTCAATCTTATGACTTAGTTGAGATATTTTTTAATTGGAAAATCACCAGTGTCTTACACTAGTCCTAATTTAATTACCTCATAGTTATCGACAATTCCCATCCTCTTCAATGCCATCAGCCGACTGAAACAAAATAAAATTCCAGATAAAGTCATTAATATTTACTCAATTGTATAGGATTGCAGAAGTAAAAAAAAAAAAAAAACATCCATAAATAATGTCAATCCTGTATAACGTAGTATCTTCTGTTTGCAGTATCTTCAACCAGTTGAAGGAGGCAAATACAAGGGAGAAGAAGGAAGAAGAGTGTGAAGTTAAATTCTGCCTTAATGTCGTTAAATTATCAAGTAAACAGCAAGCACAATCAAAATCTGAATTGACCACCATGTTGGACAGTCAGTCTCTCTTCCGATATAGGTCAGACGTCTATATATGGGTGTCATAACCCAATATCGAAATTGCAGTAAACATGGCGGCATCAGTAGTAATACTTTATTTGGCCATGCAGGCCATTTATAGAAAGGTTAATTGAGATAACATCACGCATGATCAAACATTAGGAACAAAACAAGGTGTAATTCTTCAACAAATAATCCAGATTCAATCTAATAAATATTACAATGAGGTACAACCGTGAACGGCACAAAAAATTGTTAGTTCAGATGTCTAAATCATTGTGAGAATGACTAATTGTGCCACCTCCATTGCTTATAGTGTACATATGTTGTAGAGTACATGTAGCTATAAGTGAATAGCACACAGAAAAAAAAATCATGCTCACATGTTACATTTGCACTGGAGTGGATGATTCCATTTACTACACAATTAAGTCAGTGTTATGGTTTGTTATTTTCATGAAAAGTAAGACATCATAATTGATAACTTTTTGTGAACAAATGTACTTCATTGTTTATTATTGTGTTTATGTACTGGATTTTGTCTTAAGAATAACACCTTTTAATACTCCTAGTATTTAAAACTTTTTTTAACTTCGTGAGTTTATCTTTTCACTTAATTCCCAATTTGATAAATGTTACTCAAAATGGTAACTGATACCCAAATGCCGGATAATTTACCATATGCTCCGTTGTGCCCAACCAGATACACGGTACTGTAACGTAACAGCTGTCACACCTTATTTTGACATATGCTTAGCGACAAATCCAATACAATCTATATTTCCCGATAAATGAAGT